AAACACCGTAAACAGCAATCGTTCGCGTGTCAGCGCTTAATGCGCATATCCTATATCAGTGGTTCTCAAACCTGTTCTGGAGTACCCCCAGTCCTGCACATTTTGTATGTCTCCCTCATCTATCACACCTGATTCAACTCATCAGCTCATTAGTGGAGACTGCAAGACCTGAAGTGGGTGTGTCAGATATAGGGAGACATATACAAAATGTGCAGTGCTGGGGGTACTTCATGGAGAGGTTTGAGAACCACCACCCTATGAAAAGCATTTTAGGGGGCCCTTGGCTTTTGGGGGCCCAAGGCGGTCACCTACCTTTGCCTAATGGGGTAAGTCCGCCCTTGCATTCCAAACATTTAACCCCCCCGCCCATTAAAAAAAAAAAAAAAAGTAGAAAGATTTTGAATGGTAATGGTTTGGCTATACCTAATGTCTTCGTCATCAATCTGGGCAAAATACAAGCAAAATCATTAACTAATAACACATTTTGGGAGAAAGTGCATTTTATAAGCAATTAAATAGTTCCAATAATACAATCGTCCAAATAATTGTGGTTCCAAGTGTATATTATTTTAATGTGATGGATAGTTTTGACATGGAATTCTCCAAGTCATTCGATAATACTTTTTTTTTTTTTTACAATATTTTTTAAAAGCTTTGTAACATTACAGGATAAAAGCACTATCATAGCCGGTTGGCCAAGAGTGATAACCTGGTTGGTATAGTATGCAAGGAGGTAAATATAAAACCTTGAGAATCTGTTAGTATTCCTATTTATTTCAGTGGCGGGACCCCTAGAAGCATGCAACTTGAAATCTTTATACACGGGACCACAAAAGTTCCTGAGCTGTAACGCTATGTGACTAAACTCTCTGGAGCTGCAAGATAATGTCATGACAACACAGATTGAGATTGACCATAGTCTCTTGGTCTCAAATCCTTCACTACCAACTAACCTGAGCGGTGATGTAAAGGGCACCAGACAAGGAAGAATATGTCAATTTCACATTTTTAAGAGCCCTACAAAAACTATTGTACAATAGTCAGGCACTGCTAATCGGCTGAACCTTGACCTTTAATATGCACCAAATGTACAAGGACTAATAGTGGTTTGCATAAAACTGTAGTTCACTCCAGATACTATGCAATACTGAGGTGTGCACCACTATTGTTACTAAACAGAATAAAACAAATCTTTTTTTTTTTTTTCCAACCACTGATCGGGCAAACTCATCGCTATTGTCATTCATTAAACAAATGTTGCTGTGTCAGATAGATCAGATGCTCAAAAAAACACCAATGTTTGGATAGGGCTACCAAGCCACAATGTTTGTACTTTTTGGGCAGAATAAAACCTATGAATGGATTACATATTGACACTGAATTTGAGCTGGGGTAAGAGAACATACTTGAACATAATTACACACATCAGCTTTAAGAAAATGTGCAATAAATAAGCAATAAAAATAGAAACTCATGCAATCCCGATAATATTAGCCACACGTTTGCATTATTAAGAAAAATATAAAAAATTAAAACATTTACAAGGAAAAAAAAATCAACATGCCACTTCAGAAAAAGATGAAGAGGACTGCTGGAAAAGATCAATATCCAAACTTAAACCTTTACAACAATGTTCAAAAGTAAAGGAATAAAATAATAATGCATCAATTCGTAACTAGATTGTGGAGTGATCTTTTTAATGGCATTGCATTAATGCACCTTACTAGCTACTTTATAGAATTTATATTTTTATAGATATTTTATATCTATAAAAAGCAAGATAAATGACCAGGGAACACAATAAAAGTGCCTTTAAACAAAAAAAAAGTGTGATAACTAAACAGCTCTGCAAACAGTATTTTTACTGAGGTTCTTGGCATCACTGCATACAGATATGCATCACAAAGAAACACAAAGTAATAATAGACTTTTAATGTGGTGACAAAGATATAAGACTCAGTCTGTCAGAAACCTCTCTCAAATGCCAATTCTGTTGATTTCTATCATTCTTTTCCTACGACATGTCCTTGAAATTAGAGCCAGAGGGGAGACTTCACGCAATGGTGAAGTTTACAAGTATTCCAATACACCACAAGCCTGTATATCATACTAACCATAGAATATTGTTAATTTGCATGATAATAGAAAAGGTGGTCTAGTTATGATGATGTCATCTAGGAATCAATATACTGTTGTAAAGATGAAAACGACATGAAAACAATATATATAAAAACACAGCTCTCAGTTACTATGGCCTTCACTTAGAATCAAAAAAGTATTTTTTCAGTTTGTAGAGCACCTGAATAAAACAGCACAACCCCTTCTTTTTCCCATATGTTAGCCGCCAAGCTTTATGTCAGCATTCTTTAATCAAGTCTAACATCACTCCATAAAGTACTATTCTGATTTGCACCATTTGTCCTTCATATAAATAATAAATCACAGGCGATGCAAAATCAGGATGACTTCACCTCTCCAGGATATTTATAAGGTACAACACTGAATATATGGATATGAACCTAGAAAATGCTATTATAGGCTGCCTTATCACAGCAAATACTGGAAAGATAATGTTAATGCCAAATTATTTCTTTAATGTAAAATGATTTCTGTGATACAAAATTTTTAGCGATACAAAAAATAAGCTACATACAAAGCGTTAGAATTTTTACATTAGATTTTTTTTTTCTTTTCCATGCACTCATCAGATTTCAAGATTTAGGGCAATTTTGCTTTCAAACAAGTGGATAGAAAACATCCAAAATACACATTTAAGTGTTGATACTATTACTCTGTTTGAGTTTGTAGATTTCAATTACAATTTGTATCTGAATTGCCGGATTTAACCAGATTTCATGGCATCAAATCTTATATCAAAATTAAACAAGAATTTTGAACCTGGTTCATTCAATGTTCAGATTTGCTCTGGAAATGTATGCAAATTGGGGCATATTTAATTAGATAATGCCTCATTTGCATATTTACATATACATTTTCAGAAAACGTGTAAAACAAAATACAATTGTCTTAATGTACTGTGATTAATCAACTGGGGAAGTATGGTTATTAGTTAAACTTTTTACCCTTTTCACCTGTGCCGTCTTGCCTTAAAGAGTAAATCAGTAATTTTCACTAATGCACAGCTGTTAGCCAAGCTAAGCGTTTTATATGACAATACTGAATTGCATCTGACCACAGCGTTCACCGCAGACTAAGGCAACATCAATCTGTGGTGTTAATCACTCCACACTTATCATTGTCCTTCCCAGAAACCTCTAGTTTTTACATGATTCACAACATGCAACCATGTCTGACCCACTCCTTTATAGTCTCCTGCCACATCTATACCAAGCATCAATTGTTATTCCACTCAACAGTAAAAAAAAAAAAAAAAAAGCTAATGACAAAAGACTTCGTCATCATGCAAAACAGTACACAGCAAGCTTTTGGAAAATTCAACTCGGTTTGTGCCTTAAGTGGTGAAGGCCAGGCCTCAAACCCAAGCCACACTGCTGAAGCTAAGCTAAGCTCCTGGTCTCCAGTCATGACCCAATGGAGGAAAAATGTCTCTCTTGAACCAGGTCCATCAGAGGCAACCTACTGTGATCTCTCTCCCATCAGTTATGGCTGGGTATTTTTCCTCTATTTTTTTTGACACCTGTATGTGAGCACTGATTCAGTTTCCATTACAGCATTGCCCTTTTGTTAATTAGTCTCCATCTGGTTCCAGTTAAAGTCACTGATGTCACTGCTCCCCCTCCCTACAGTACGCCAGTCACTCCAGAGAAACATGGAAAACGTTAGAGCCGCCTCTAATTAAATAACCAGGGAGCATCCGTCACTATCTGTGTCTCTTTGCTAAGCTTTGAGTCCCACGTATAGACTAAATCATTTGTATTTGGACAGCGTCTGTTACAAAGCCACATGCAATGGCTTCCATTTATTGTCTTTCCACTCCCATACAAAACAAAGAGAACAGACCTAAAAGGGCTGTGTATGAATATGCATGAAAATTATTCTATTATGGACCAATGCAATAGGTCACACACAACACCTTCCATATTTGGGATGGTACTTATACCATTTGGCTTCATGAAGCTCTTTATAATACTATATATTAAAACATCAAAGGGCTGATGGCAGCTTTACTAGTTAAACTGAAACAAATAATAAATTTGAATCTGGTGGTGGTTGAGGAGAGATCAAATGATATGATTGTAAAGCACTTTGGGTATACAGCAATACACAAAGCGCTATATAAATGATTCATTGTTTAATTAATTCATTCAAGACATTCAACAGTGAATATAATTTAGTAGTTTATTAAAAATATCATACAAATACCTCATAATTGGAAAATACCTGATAATTTTGCACACAACATTGAAGCATAACAAAATGGACAAAAAAGACCAAACTGAAGCATTATAATGTAATTCCTACAATTTGCCTGCCTTCTCACAGCATCAATTTCAAATTGTCTCATTTAAAAATTAGCTTCCTCTTCTCAAGGTCAGAAACGTTTTCTAATGTTCAGAGGGTGAACCATAACAAGGTGAATGGCTGATATCACAACCAGTGTCAAAAAGTAAGAGTTCTTACATTATAGATCAAGACACATTAACTTGAATGTGCTGCTCATGAGAAACGACCACAGTCAAATAAAGCAAGATTAATGTTCATTTAAAAGTGATTAAATATAAATGTAAATGTAAATAAGAATTTCAGGCCCAATATAATAAAGCCTTTATTCTTTTTAAACATCCCTTTAGAATTAGTTGAAACTTAACAATAAAAATGCAATAACTTACACTGGTAACTTAAGAGTCACTAAACTGTAGTGAAAATACAATTAAGACACGTTTCGTTTTTTTTATTATTTTGGAAATTATCATTCCTAGTGAAAAGAACGAGGACATAACTCGAGGATCAAACTATTGTGAGAAAGCCTCGAATCACAATTCTGGCACAGCGGCCAAAGACATAAACATTTAGTTTACCATTTAAGACAAGTTGCAGAGTCATCGATGCTTTGTTGGCCCTCTTGGAAGGCTGCTAATTCCACATTAAATCAAATGTTCACATGTTTCTAGGCCGCTGTAATAAGCGCTTCTGACTCGTCACTGGATTAACCTGCTTTCATGGCATCGAATATTATTTTCATAGTAATCAGTGTCCAATAATAATAGTGTGCATATGTAAATAATCGGTAGGCTACATTACTTTTCGGAAAATATGATAACAAAACACAGATTTTTCACAAATTTCTTCACTGCTGTCTTTACAACATTTATCAGAGACATCTAGGCTGTCTTGTGAACGAGTTAACACTTTGTTAAATGCAGGTGTAGGCTATCAGTGAATTCATAAAGTCGATCTTACAACGATTATTTGTAATTGGCGTCCTGGGGTTTAGCCTGTTCCGTGTGCTTGTGCGCATGTGTGTATTTTATGACCAGGACAGATGAAACCGCGATCATTTTAAAATGTCATGTAAATAGGCCTAACGGGTTTTATGAGCTTTTCGTTTTAAATTTTTTATGTTTTTTGCGCATGTAAATATAAACTAGCCTACATAGAGTAGATTTAAGTAGGCCTAGTTCGGTTTTCACGTCATGTCGGATTGAATTTACGAATTTCCGACAAATAACCGTTTAGAAACAAATGTTTAGCGATCTTAACATGGCAGTTTGGTTAAAAGCTAAGTCTACTAGGCTATTAATTAGCCTATTTAATTTCTTGAAATGTCTATGGAGAAAATGAATATGGAAAATAGTCCGTGAATTTTCCTTTCTAAAAATGTAAAATAGCATTCGAGCTGGCTCAACGAAGCCCACATCTGAACTCTCACAGAGACAAACTAATCGACCACAATTTTGAAGCAATAAAACAGGAATTCATTTTGGCTCGCTAGCAAGACTTTATTTAAAGAAATGGAACGCTAGTGAGCAAATGATTTATACATTCCATGTGTTTATGCTATAGCCTACACATTACAGTGATATGCATAATATGTATAATAATTAGTAATAATCATATATATGTAACAATTCTTTAAAGCAACTCTGTTTTGTAATGATTTTTTTTTTTTTGCAACAGACCAATTTGCCATAAGCATGTGTTTCTTTGAAGAGGTACTCTGAAGAGTATTTAGTTCAAATTTAACCACTCAAAAGCATTACATAATCCAGTTCAGTTACTTTTCCACCACACATAGTCTTCTGTTGGTCCGTGCGGTACAGTCCACTTGTCTTAATGAATATCTCAACTATAGTGCTTCCACTGGGCGGTAGCTGTGGAAATCCACATACCTGAAAAAACATACCTGAATAATGGATTATTAAGTGGGACATATAAATTATATCAGTAGATACATTATATGATGTCCAAGTTTTTGAGGAACACCTCCAATTTGGCTAGAATGAAGAGAGCATTTATGATGCAGTGAATAGGGAGTGTGAGTTTGCTTCCTGCTTGGCTGGCACTTTCCTCTGGCTTCGAACTGGCTCCATCCAAAGGGCAAGACCTTGGTTTTGGCCCTTGCTGCTGTCTGTTTACCATCCATCCTCATTAACTGGCTCGCCGCGCCATCCAGCCACCCTTCAGGTATTCATTCCGCCTGCAGAGAGTCTCAGCCAGTCAGCACAGTAAACACCCAGATGTCATTACCTGAGAACAGCAAGCCATGAGGAAAAGCCATTAATATCATAACTGCAACAATCTGATGTTTTTTTTTTCTCCCACAGACAGATAAGTTCTAACATATGAGGGCAGTCAAAATCCCACATGACTCAAAACTGGATCCAATCCAGTTTCACTTCATACTTCCTCTCCCATCCTTGTGATGTTAATCATTGTCCCACAGTTACCAGTGTTCTTTTATCACAAAACACTTTTATAGGAAGACATAATGTTTGGCTGTAAACATGTCTCAAACAACATGCTGCTACATTTGTATGCCAACAGAGCCTGAAACCCATATGAAACTAATTACATCATCCACCATTCTTAAGTTTTCATATCTTCAGACAGAAAGAAAGATAGACAGAGAGACAGACAAATAAAGAGCGGCAGAAAGACAGGTTTGTGACGTGAGCCGAGATCTTGTTGTGGTATATTCTCCTTGGCACTAAAAGTCATAAAAGGCCTTCAGGTTTTACAATGTCATGTCCAAACGCAGCTTCCCCCATGGCTTCTCTTTCTCTCCTCCCTCCCTCTGAGCTACCTTCACCTCCCCCCATGCTATCTTTCTTCATCAGTCAAAAACGACAAGCATATTTTCACTTCTGAAAAGCACTATGAATACTGTTAAAAAGTACAGACTGGAAGGAATTTAGTGGTCATGTGTTTGTGTACCATTGTTTTTTTGACTGTGGTCAGAATGTTCTAGCGCATGTGGTACAGAGCGAACGATCTCAAAACCACTTTTGCTACTGATGCCTTTCCAAGAACACATCAGAAGTGCCGTTTTAGGTTTAGGGTGCCAGTGCAAGTCCATTTCAGAGATTTGGCTCTTTTGAAGACTTATTGTTTCAAAAATAGCTACAGCAGATAAAAAAAATAAAATAAATAAATCTTCGATGTCTTCAAATCGACTCTTCAAACATTGTGGAAGTCATTCCATTCTTAAAAGCTGACGTTCTGATTTATTGTAGGCCTTTCAAAACAAAAGACTCAGAGGTGACCAATAAATCCATCCGTACTTTGCTTCCTCAAGCTATTTGTCCTCTTGAGGTGTAAAACACTCTGTGGCAAGCCCTACTTGAACCAGAGCCGTGAACATATAGCGTCCACCAATTATCCTGTCTGTCTGCTCCTCTGCTAATTATGGCTTGCCTGCTGTGTTTGTGCGTGAGTGTTTGTGTGTGTCTCTTATGGACAGACGGGGGCTAATAACACCATATTTTTGGAAAAGACAGAAGGCCTCTGGCCATCGCTTTCAACACACATGCCACACAGGCAGTCCCACCCACAGCACTCAGACCTGTCATTGATGGCCATCCCCTCTCCTATTCTTAAGACTCTCGGCAGCTGTGGCCTAGCGTGACAGAAAAGTGCAACAAATGACTTTGCAACCGCTTCTGGGGGCAAATGTCAAATATCCCTCCATATTTACCAGAATGGAGTCGTGGAGGGGAATTTCTGTGCAGGGTGTGGATGTCATGTCAGCGAGAGAGATAGGGAGAGAGAGAGAGAGAAAAAAATTGGTTTCCTTTTCTGGATGCCATCCAGGTCTGTGCACAGTACCAGGCAGCTGTCAGTAGGATCGGTGAGCCCAGCTGGTAGAGATGTGCTGGGTGTCAGCAGGGCAGCAGATTTTAGCGAGGCCAGAGAGCACTCGCCGCATGAGTTAGGTGTGATCTGAAGAGGACGTGATTTAGAGTGCTACGACCGGGCAGGTGAGATGCGCGCAGATACTTGGCTGGTGAATCAGCCGAAAGATGAGGGGGGAATGTGCAACGATGTGCAGAGGTCAGGTTGTAAGCTTGTGCGTAAATACGAGGAAAGCAAGATATTGCTGGAGGTGCAAAAGCACAGTGCAGATGTCCAAATAAATGGTAAATCATCGCGGGTGCTCAAATGCTTTTTTCACTGAATGTGTCCGCCAGCCCAGGGGCTAGCGAATGACTAAAACATTAGCAGGAATCCTCAGGGCCCTTGCACGCTCTCCCATCCCCCTCTGCACTGGGCCTGTGCAAACACACACATGCACACCGAGGCAAAATGGTCCCTATCCACATGCACACTTCAAGACATCATGGCCTCTCTCCGGCTGGGGAATGCGTATTCGTGCGCTGCTTCGCTCGTATACACAAAGTGTCTATTTAGGTGTGTGTCCTCATTCCAAGAGCTGTAAAGATGCCATTGGCATCTCGGCCCAGAACACTGATTCGAGTTACAGGTGTTCCTTTTAACACAGTTGCCCTGAAAAAAAAGACATTTTATGACCATTTTGTGTGGAGGCCTGGGGAACCAGAAGTGACACAGACCCACAAAACAAGTTAAAACCACATACCCATGATCACAGATACCAAACACACACACATAGAGAGAGATATAGAGAGATTG